TTCTGCTAAAACGGAAGCAAAAGCAAGGATCGGTTTAGGGTGACGCGTGGGTGAAGGAGGGATGGGGGTCACTGATGGCTTCAGAGACGACTATGGGGACAGTGCCTGAATAAGTCGCAGCTCACAGAGGGCAAGGCTGTGTGGAAGATGAGGCCTGCAGGGGCGGCCCGTCCACATCAATTTGTGAGGAAGCCATCTTGCTCCGCTGGCCTAATGGACCAGGTCTGACGAACAACAGCCAAGGAGAGGCACCTCATCGGTTCAGCTTGCACAATTCCGACGGAAAAACTTGAGCAAACTTGTTCGCTTGTGGTGGTTAGATACCGTGGACTCGGTTCCAACTCATGGCGACCCTGTGTGAAACAGAGCCGCCGCCGCCGGCCCTGCACCACCCCCGCCATGGTTCTTGTGTTGGAGCCCAGCGTCACAGCCTGTGCTGAGCCCCCCACTTGACCATGCACGATGACCCCCTTAGTCTGTCTTTAGTTTTATTAGCTCTTCTTCTGCATGTCATACCATTCAGCCATTCAGCCATCAACAAGATTGGTACCGTGATCACCACACTCAATGCCGGAATATTCTCTTCTTGCATGCACTGTTATTCATGTAATTTTTTTTGGCAAGAAAAATAGGCCCAGCAAACATTTTCCAACTCCATCACTCTACCCTTATAATTCAGTGCCATTGGTTACACTGTCCATGTTGTACGCCGCTATTGACAGTCTCCTCTACATTACTCCACCACCAGTAACATCAACTCAGTGCTCCTAAGCAACAGCTCTTTCTCTTTAAGTAACCATGGTCACCACTGGTCAAGTTGGCCGCCCTTTTTCCTTTTCAGTCGTTTTCTTGATACAGTGTTCACATATCATACACTTCCATGGTTAAACTGCTTCTAAAACGACTTACGTATACATCATCACATCGTTCTAGTGCCCCCTTCCCGTTTCCGCATTCACTGTTTGCTCCCCAGACCCCTCACCCGCCCCACCTCCCACCCTCCTCCACATCCCTGGTCAGCCACTGCCTCAGGTACGGTCTCTGTGCATCCACTCCTTCTGTGCTGCGCAGACTGGAAACCCGACAGAAACGGTAACAAGCAAAAAAGCAGGAAGAAAATAATAATATAAAGATAAAAATACAAGTAAAGATTAAGAAAGAAAAGACTACCATCAACATTTTAAAAGCCGGAGGAAAATGTTTGTCACGGAACAAGCGAGGAACACTTGCACCTAGCGCAGTTCAGAGTGGGTCGGGGGAGGTTAGCTGACCGAGTGTCTGATTCACCACCACCAAGTGTGCAGTCACCTCCGCCGGGTCCTCACGCTGCTCCAGTCCCTGGCCTGAGGTCCGAGGGGACCTGCCGGTGGCTTCAGCTGACCAGACACTCTGCAGGTGGGTTTTGGGCTCCCACTGCCCGCCATAGCCTTCTCATAGCCTTCTACAAACTGGGTGTTCACAGTATAAGCTCTGGTACTTCTCCCTGGGTCATATTTGGATTTTGGGATGGTCGTCTTTGGATCCCACAGGCCGGGCTGCTTCGTCTGTGTGGGCTTGGTCGACGCCTCGCCCAGACTTGTTTGGATACACGCTTCTAGGACCTGGACACTATTCCCTTTGGTTGCTAGCTTGGCAACAACATGATGCCCTTCTTGAGCGGCTGGTCTCTCCTGACAACACATCCCAAAGACAGGAAAACCAAGTCTCGCCGTCCTGGCCTCCAAGGAGCATTTTGGCTGTACTTCTTCCAAGACAGATTGGCTTGTTTGGGCAGTCCACGGTACTTTGAATCTCCTCCCCCAGCACCATGACTCGGATGCATTGATTCTTCCTCGGTCTTCCTTATTCGATGTCCAAACTTCACTTTGGACACCTGTTGACAGCCAGGCATCGCGGATGTGAAAAAATGAACGATGAAAAAAATCACTGCCACCGGGTCGATGGCAACACATAACGACCCCGTTGGACAGGGCAAAACTGCCCCGTGTCCCTGCCTCTTCACTGAAGGAGAAAGCCCGGTCTTTCCCGAGAGCCCGACCCACCCGCCGCATCAGCGCTCCATTGTGGGTGCTCCTCACCCCAGGGCCATCTGAGGGCAGTTTCCATGAGAAACCAGGAGGCCCCCACCTGGTCCTGACCCGCCTCCTCCAACTGCTTCCTGATGCCTAATCACAAAACAGTCTTTGCAGGGCCCCATTCTGCAATCGAGCACGTAAAATGACTGCGCTGACCGGCTGGCCGCCCAGGACGCTCAGTGCTTAGGGATGGACCAAAGGACCACTATCAGGGCGTCCAAAAGTTTCCTGACCTTGATGGGTGCGACTTAAGCTGATAGTGTCAATTTTTAACTTTTTCACTTTATTCATTCCATTCTCCCAAGCACTTCTGAGGTCCCCTGGGATGTGCCACAACCTGTGATATGTACTGATACACAACAGTGGTTGTTAGGGACCACTGGGTCCGGTTCAACTCTACGTACAACGGAAGGAAAGACGGCCTGGGCCTGCATCGTCCTCACACTCTGACTGACTGACAGGGCCCTACAACAAATAAATACGGAAAGGGCAGCTCATATACTCAAGACACACAGGCAGCAGAGTATTCTTAACTCAGGAAACAAGCTGAGTTTAGAGGGCGTCGGCCAAGGAGGCACGTCCTAAGACGCCAGACTGGCAGGCCGGTGTCATGTCGGAGTGCATGGGGGCTCTGAAAATGGGGCCGGGCACACTGCCACAGTGAGGCTGCCGGCGGGGATAGGGTCCCTCTCTCCTGACAGCACGCCCCGCCCCCAGGTACCCTGGGACGACCTCCGCTACCTGTTTGGGGAGATCATGTATGGGGGCCACATCACGGACGACTGGGACCGCCGGCTCTGCCGGACGTACCTGGCTGAGTACATCCGGGCAGAGATGCTGGAGGGTGAGGTCCACTTGGCCCCCGGCTTCCAGACACCCCCCAACCTGGACTACAAGGTGAGGAGAGCGGCCCTGGCAGGGGGGTGGCAGGCAGCAGATCAGACAGGATGTCACTCCTGACAGCACCTGTCCAAGGGTCCAACGCCCACAGCCACAGCAGCCCCGAGAGGGATTCCAAGGCTGGCCATCTGAATGGGAACAGGCTGCCTCCACACAACCCTCAGAGCCACCAGAGGACCCCAAATAGGACCTCACAGAGAGGAGGGGCGCAGAGGACCTGCAGGCAGAGCGTGGGTAGAAGGTTCGGGTTCTGAGCACACAGGCTGCTGAGTAAGCCCGCTGGCTCACGGGCCGGCCCCGGTCTCCAGGGTTACCACGAGTACATCAATGAGAACCTGCCCCCGGAGAGCCCCTATCTGTACGGCCTGCACCCCAATGCAGAGATCGGCTTCCTGACGGTTACCTCGGAGAAGCTGTTCCGCACTGTCCTGGAGATGCAGCCCAAGGAGACAGATTCAGCTGGGGGCACAGGCATCTCCCGGGAGGAGAAAGTAAGCTCTGGGACCCCTGCCCTGAACCGCAGGCCCCTAGGAGCCAGGGGGTTGTCAAGACACGGTATCAGTGCGGGAAGGCACAGTGCTCACCGTAGGGCACTCTTGCATCACTAGCCGCTGAGCACCAGCCCCAGAGCCCAGGCGGGGGAGGGGGGGGGGGCGGAGTGCTCTGAGCGGCGGGCCTCCCCAGGTGAAGGTGGCCCCGGAGCCCAGGGGTTCAGGGGGTGGGGGGGCCGGTCCCTGCTCTGAGCGGCGGGCCTCCCCAGGTGAAGGCCGTCCTGGATGACATCCTGGAGAAGATCCCCGAGATGTTCAACATGGTGGAGATCATGGCGAAGGCGGTGGAGAAGACGCCCTACGTGGTGGTGGCCTTCCAGGAGTGCGAGCGGATGAACATCCTGACCAATGAGATGCGCCGCTCGCTCAAGGAGCTCAACTTGGGGCTGAAGGTCAGTGACAGAACGGCCGGCCAGACCCACGCCACTGGGGCTTTGACCCCTCAGCGAGTTGCCACCCCCCCTCACCCCAGCCTGGCATCCCAGACACCTGGAGCCAGCCACTGGGACAGCCATTGCAGTCCTGAATGCGGCGGGAACTGTGGGCGTGATGCCTGGGGGCTCCAGGAGCAAGGCAAGGGTGCTGTGTGTTCCAGGGAGAGCTGACCATCACGACTGACATGGAGGACTTGTCCACGGCCCTCTTCTACGACACTGTGCCCGACACGTGGGTGGCCCGGGCCTACCCCTCCATGATGGGCCTGGGGGCCTGGTACGCAGACCTGCTGCTCCGGATCAGGGTAAGGATGCTCCCTCGGGGGAGTGGCTTCCCTCTGTCCTGTAGCTGAACGGGTTTGTGCACACCACACTAAGGGGCCCCCAACGCCCACCCAATCCGAGATCACAACAGCGAGGACCCTGCGTTGGCTGAAAGGCCCGGTGACAAAGGCAGAAGTCCCTCTTGGGCTCCTACTTTACCCTCACTGACCCGCTCCTCCCTTCTTAACCCCTGCCCTCGACCACAACGCCCCCGTTTCCTCCAGGAGCTGGAGGCATGGACGACAGACTTCGCACTGCCCACCACGGTGTGGCTAGCAGGCTTCTTCAACCCGCAGTCCTTCCTCACGGCCATCATGCAGTCCATGGCCCGGAAGAACGAGTGGCCCCTGGACAAGATGTGTCTGTCTGTGGAGGTGACCAAGAAGAACCGGGAGGACGTGACAGCACCTCCCCGAGAGGGCTCCTACGTGTACGGGCTCTTCATGGAGGGTGAGTGTGAGCAGTGCTTTGGGGCCCAAGGGGGTGAAGAGGCCGCCACCTTCCAATCCTGCCCCGGCCTAGCTCCTGCCCTCTGGGTGGCTGAGATCCCGGCCATGGGGAAGAAGTGGCCCCTCTGTCTCGGAGCAGGCCTATGTCGCTGCTGACCTCAGGCTTGTCTGGGGCTGTGGGTAAGGCAGGGGAAAGGGGGACATGGAAGACCCTGCCTCTTAGCAGACACCCTGCCCTGGTCCCCCCTCAACAGAGTAAGCCCAGGCGGCCATTCTTGTGTTTATTGAGGTTAGATGGAATGCCGCATATCCTTAAATAGGGTGCAGGGGACAGTGGGCACGCTAGCAGCAGGTGGGTTCCACGGAGCATGCAGCGCCTGGGCTGCACAGGGACAGGCAGGGTGGAGGTGGCACACGGGGCCCGAGGTGGGGCTCAGAGCAAGCTGTCTTCAGCACTGGGGGCAGCCATGCGACGCCATCAGCAGGGCCTGGGCAGGACCGCGTCTGCCAGGGGCCTCTGAAGTGCCATGCTGCCCCCGCAGGCGCTCGCTGGGACACACAGACTGGCGTCATCGCAGAGGCGCGGCTGAAAGAGCTGACCCCGGCCATGCCCGTCATCTTCATCAAGGCCATCCCTGTGGACCGCATGGACACCAAGAACATGTATGAGTGCCCCGTGTACAAGACGCGCGTCCGCGGGCCCACCTACGTGTGGACGTTCAACCTCAAGACCAAGGAGAAGGCGGCCAAGTGGGTGCTAGCGGCCGTGGCCCTGCTCCTGCAGGTCTGAGCCTTGGGGCCACCATGCTCCCCTCAGATGCTAGCAGAAACCCCCACATTTGGAGACACTGGACGGGGCACATGGGTGAAATGGCAAATTAAACACGGGTCCCCTGCTCTGATTTGCGTGACTTATGTGGCCCTCACTGGCTTGGTGGCAGGTGGGCGGTCTAAGAACTGCCAAGACCCAGGACCGCCCTCAGCCCCTTCCTTGAGCTCCACGCAGACAGCTCACAGGGGGGCTCCAGCTGGGGAGGTTGGGGCGCCTCACTGAAGCCCTGGGCTTCTGGCAGGAGCTTGCTGTGCCTGGGGCAGCTGTTCACACCCCACCTTTGCTAGCCTGTGGGTACAGAAGGGCCACAACCGGTCCCTCAGCACGAGAGGAGCACAGTGATACCCCCCCCCCCTCGATAAGCAGCACACAAGCACCTTGAGGGCTGCCTACACTGCACCCATGTTCAACTGGTGCTCACTTCAAGGCCCGGCTCCCTCAGCTGAGGCTGAGAGGCGGGTAGCCGCTCAGAGAGCACTGAACAGTCCCGCACCTGGCCTCCCTACAGAAAGGCAGGATTGCACAAAGTGGCCTGGTAATAAGGCTGCCACCTCCTGGCCAGGAAGGGTCACTGCAGCCCAGGTGCCCAGAGCCATGTACCCTAACTCCTGAGACCCACCCGGGTGAGGAGGCTGATTAATGGGGTGTCAGAGAGCCTGGGGGGCTAGCAGAAACCAGGTGGCCCACTGGTAGCCTCTGAAGACAGAATGGAGCGGGCCTGCCCTCACTGTCCTGCAGGACTGAGCCATGGTGGCCAGCAGAACAGGAACAGTTTGGTAGAACCCTGAATAGGGCCCAGTGAGCCCCCCCAGAGCTGGGCGTGGCTCCCACTACACCACTGAGCCCGGGTACCCAGTGCTGCTCTTCCCAGCAGGCTTTCCGCTGCCAACACCTGAACCAGACAGCATGTGAGGGTCGCTAGCTCTAACGCACCTGGACTCAGAAGAAGTTCTTAATCAGAGGTGTCACCATCTTCACCCACAGCTTCACCTGCCGGCTTGGCTGCTCAAAGGTGGCCGCTGACACGACACCTGAGCTCAGGTAGAGCTGCTCCTGCTCCTGAGGAAGGAGGACAGACAGGGTTAGAACCATCAGGAATGGGGACACGGCCCTCAACTTCAGACCAGGCGCAGGAAACCACCCATCTGGCAGGGCCGCCCGGCCCAGAGAGCAGTAGGCACGATGGGGCAGGGCCAGCCTCACCTGGGTACTCCGGGCTGGCTGACGGAGTGTCAGGGAGCCCAGGGCTTCCAGGGGGTGGGGGCCTGCCATGCCATCAGAAACCAGGCAGCCTGACGGTGGGCATGCTGAGGCAAAGCTAGCCAGTGTCTCAGCTCCCGTGACGGGATCCGCACGGAGCAGGCACGGAGAGCTGAAGCAACGGCTCTCGTGAAACACATGTAGAACAAGCACACCCCCAGCCAGGCCGGCAGCACCGTGCCAAGTCCTAACCTCGTGTCCCTCAGCCATTAACCAAGGCTGCTGGGATGGACAGTGTCACTTCACGGTGGCTCTGGGGCTTCAAACGTGCATCGCCCTTCCACCCGGTTTCCCACCAACTTCTCGAAGCCCTACACATTGACCACAATTGACCGTTTGAAAAACAAAAGCCTCACCCACCCACGAGATGCACGCGGGATCTAAGAGGAGACCGAGCTCTGTCCTGGCTGACCAGGGCACCTGAGGGAGCTCACCTGTCTTGGCAGCAGCCCCTCGGTGAAGGCGAGGGGCTAGGTGGGAGAGGCAGGCATGGGGGCACACACACGGGGCCTCCTGCCCACCCCCCAATCCAAATTTGAGGAAGAGGAGGCCTCCCTGTCCACAGGCAGCCAGGGTGCGAACAGCCGGCGCCTTCTCTCCATCAGAAGGAAGCCCCCTCCCCCCCCCTTGACTCTCAGCCCCTGTCACCAGGCAGGGCGAGTGGCTTCAGAAAACAGAAGTGACCGTGGGATTTTCCAGGAACTTCTGCCCGCCCTGTCGGAAGCTCAGAGGGGCTGCTGCCTCGCTCTGGGGGGCAAAGCCCTACAGAGGCCAGCTTTCTTTCTGCCGGCAGCCACAGGGCGTCCCACAGCTACACCGCGCTGGACCGGCAGACCCTGACTCGGATGCCCCTTGTCTGCACACTTCTAGCTGGGTGAAGGTGGGTGGGCGGGCGTCCTGCCAACGGCAGGCGGGGGTGCACCATGGGAACAGTGAGCACAGGACCCACTCTGGGACACAACAGGACCAGTCCCCAGTCTTTCCCACCACGGCCGATCACACCCACGGCTGGCCACACACACACACACACACCCCAGGGCCCAGGGCAGAGTCCTGGCGCATTTGCCCAAGTTGCTCAGCGTGGTATTCCCACCGAGCTGCAGCCCAGCCCTCGATGCAATTACCAGAACACTTGGGGTCCTCAGCGACTCCCCGCCGGGCGGAGAGGAAGTCAGCTGACTGGGGTGACAATGCAGCTCAAGGGGCATTTTGTGGGTCACAAGTGGTAAACTGCACTCCCCCCCTCAACCCCAAATAAAGCCAGGGAGGGACAGTGCTCTGATACAGAGATGGCAGAGTTCAGGGCTCACTGGGACCTGCTGTGGCTGCAGGGCCTTGGGCACTCCAGCGGAGGCTTGCCCGAAACACAAACACACCAACGGGGCCATCGAGAAGCAATTGTGCACCTCACAGGCGCACAGACCCACACGTCTGTGAGCACCAGGGGCTATAGGTCCTCCACAGGCCTGCCCACCCGATCATCCCTGAGGAGGCAGGCAGAGCCCGGGCAGAGGGCTGCAGCTCACCCCTCACAAGGGGGAGGAGGAGTGGCCAGGGGCCATGGAGGCCTGTAGCAGACCCCATGCAGGAAGGGAGCTGCAAGAGAAGTGGGTCACCGCTGGCACCACACAAGGTACAGCCCGTGACTTCCTGGCAGTGCAGCCTGGCTACGGACAGGAGTCCCACTCACTGAGAGCAGGGCCGAGGACAACGGCTGTTGAGCACTTCCTCCTGGCAACAAAGGCTGCGGCCATTGCGCAACGCCAATCCACAGACGCAGACTCGCAGCACTGGCAGTCGCTGGCTGGGGCTGTGCTCTGGCTGCCTGTTGTCACCCTCTGCCCTCCTAGGGAGGCGGGGGGGGGGGCAATCCTGGCGAGCACACAGACGCAGTCACATGGAGAGCCCTACAGGTCCCGCCGCACGCACGCTGCCCAGGAGGGACCAGTCCCTCCCTGGAGAAGGGCCTCCAGCTTAGAAAGTAGAGTCGTCGAACAAGAGGAAGGCCTCCACAAGACGGACGGGCCCATGGCTGCTGCCCGGGCTTAGGACACGCGGCCGGAGGGCGGCTCACACACTCCCCAGCAGCCCCTCCTGGAACCCCCGCCCTGGGGCCCACCCACCTGGTGGAGCTGCTGCTGCAGGGTGGGGCTCTCTGTCACAATGGCAATCTGGGCCTCCAGGTCCCGGTGAACTGACCTGTACCCAAAATTAGGAGAGCCAATCAGCGTGAGGCAGGGCAGGCTGCTCCCTGCCAGGTAGAGCCAGAGGCCTGCAGGGAAAAGGAGACGGGCGACACGGGTGAGCACACAGCTGCCAGGTCTCCCGCCACCGCCGCATCTACCTAGAGAGCCGAGCCTGCGGGGAGCTGAGCCACCCTGGGCTGCCAGGAGGGACCACAGAAGGTGGCTCTCAGGGCCTGTGACACCTGTGCTGGGCTTGCCACGGCCCCTCCTCAGAGAGCACAGGCCTCCTGGCCAGGCCCTACAGCTGGCTAGCCCCAGTACTCTCTCTGGGAGAGCTGGTGGGCAGCAGCCCCACACCTGGCCCAGGCGCTCATTGCCCACGGGCCCACAGGCCCCGGCACTGCTCAGCCTGAGCTCGTGGAAACCGCAGAAACACACCCAGGCTCTTCCACGACCCCTCCCTCCGGAACCCCCCAAACTGGACCTCCACCCCCACCGCTGGGTGCTTGGCCTTCTCTCCTAAGGGTCCTGCCAGGATGCAGCCCTCTCCTGCCCTCTGCCCAGCCTGACACACCCGGCCTCACCCGAGGGGACCTGCACTCAGGTCCCCAGACAGCAGTTGTTCCAGGCTAGGCTCAGAGGGTGCAGCTCCAACCTGCTCCTGTCCCGCTCTCTGCCCCCACTCCACCCCGGGCCACATCCAAGCCCCAGCCATGGGCAGCCTGGCCCCTCAATGCTCACCCTTTCCAGGGGCCCACAGAGTAGCCACCCCCCACCCCCACCCCTGACCTGCTCCCACATCTCCAAACAGACGAACCCACTCTTGCTTACTGCCCAGCTCCACCTGGATCACCCAACTTCAAACACCGATGCCCTCACAAGAACGTAGGGGGCACTAGGCCAGGGTCTGGTGGGGAAGCCAGCATAGCCACACCTGCCTGTTTGGGACAGCCCATCAGAGGCTGTCACCATCTCCATGCCCACTGGGGCCCAGCCCCTCTCCTGACAAGAGCCTGGCTCACAGGTCACCTCCCAGGTCCCAGCCAGAGCCCTCCATTGGCTAGGACCCTGGCGGCTGCTCCCTGCCTGGCGTGGGTCAACAGCACCAGCAGCTACTTCCTGGTCAGAGTGGAGCCACCAGTGGAGTGGAACAGGCGCCTGGACACGGGCCACCCCTCCCTGTGCCCCGGCCCTCCGCTGTCCCCCTCCGTGAGGACAGTGCTCAGTGGACAAGCTGGCCCTTGTGCAGCGCTACAGCGTCCTAAAGCTCCCAAGGTAGAGGACAGCACTGCCCCCTGGAGGCCTGGCCAGCTCCTTCCCACCCCCGCCCGACGGCCACTGCATCGAGGACCCTGCCTCACACTCACTGTAAGGGCCCACCCCCACCCCCACCCCCGTCTCAAGCCACTGTACAAGGACACCCCACACACACACTGCATGTTCATAACACAAGAACTGCCCCCCTGCTCATGCATCCATGTGCCCCTCTCCAACTCCTGGCCCACAGGACAAGGCCCTCCTCCTGCCTCTCCTACATGCCCTTGAACATGGGTCTGCCACACCACCCTCCCCCAGCCCAGCATGACCACGGACTCTAGGGACAGGGCCCTGGTAGCCCCATGGTATAGCAGGTGGCTGGGTGGGAGGTCAACAGGCTCTGGGTGGGCAGCAGACTCCCGGGGGTGGGGGGAGTTGTGAGGTCACACACGTACGTCTTGGCAGCAGACGGCAGGCTCGCTGGAGTGAGCTGCTCACCAAGAGGGTGGCTCCCAGCTGAGCCCTCACCTCCTGGCGCGGCTAAGACAGGGGGAGTGAGGACAGCCTGGTGGTCAGATGGCCCTCCTCCAGCCGGTGGCCAGCGTACCTTTGGCGTGAAAGGTCCAGCCAGGCCGCCAGTACTCCTGCAGACGCACACGCTCTTGCTGGCCCAGGCTGTGCACCTGGTGGAAGAACTGCCGCTCGATGTGGACATATGCCGCAGGGATGGCGCCAGCCACGCCCTTGGCCCCAAAGAAGCCATTCACCTCGGGCGAGGCCAGCAGGATGTGGTACTCGGGCCTCGTGCCCAGGACCAGGTCCATGTAGGCCTGCGTCAGGTTGAAGTAGCCTGTGGTCAGGCAGACGCGGGCGCCGCGCTCGGCCTCGGTAAGCAGGGTCTCGGTGACCACCTCGTCGATCTGGATCTTAAAGGGCTTCATCTGGATCAGCGGGTAGATCCAGGTGTCGGGCGCCGGCCTGCGGTCTCCGGCAGCTGCGGCGTCCCCCTGCGTCAGGAGGGAGTCGCCGTGGAAGGTCTGGGCATGCAGCAGCTGCTGGCGGGTCCGCGCCGAGTGGATCACATCCATGACTCTCTTGTTGGCGGCCTCACAGTACGCAGCCCGGTCACCTGCCGGGAGGGGGACAGGTGAGCCGAGGGCAGGCCCTCCAGAGCCCGACAGAAAATCCAAGCCTCTGACCAGCCTCCTCCAGGGCACCCCGTTGTCAGCAAATGCTTTCTGAGGGGCCCTGCCTCTTGGCCCAACGGGGAGTAGACGGTCAGCCGGAGGGCCTGGAGTTGAAAACTCAGGAGCAGGTGTGTGTGCAAAGGGGCCACGCTCCGTGGGAGGAGCCCCCCTCAGCAGCCCTCACAGAAGGGCTCGATCTGCTCCCGAAAGCGCAGCCCTCTCTGCTGGCACACAGGCTCCAGCTCCGACTCGGAGGGAACTGGGTCCCGCAGACCAATGCCATGGGAGTGCTCAGCCGGGGCTGCTCTGGGAGGCAGGTCTCCAGAGAGAACGGAGGCCCTACCCCGTCCCCCAGCTCTTCTGGGACAGTCACTCTGGGGTCAGTGGAAGAGGGCAGCTGACTGGGCCCTGTGTGGCCCTCCCCGACGCACAAAGAGCACAAAGACTTGCGAGAGGGGCACAAGTCTCTCTGAAGACATGAGGGGCTGAAGGACCTGCCTGCTGCCCCCAATACCAGAAGAGCTGTCCCAGGGGAAAGCAAGGTCCACCGCAGGGACAAGAAAGCTCCTGGGTCCCACGGGAACCCGAATGCCAGCACATGCTCCTTCCTGTTCTCAGGCCAAGGGAAGAGGGGGTCCCGCCTCTGCTCCCACCCCCAAGCCTGCATCTGGGCCCCCCTTCTCCCGAAGCCATCTGGTTCTCTTGAAGGCAAGCTGGGCAGACAGCCCCAATTCCCAGACTGGCAAAGGGTGACAGGCAGCCATGAGTCGCATCTGTCAGCCTCAGACACAGACTCAGCAGCAGTGAGGTGCTCCTACAAGAGAGTAGGGGTCCCTGGCCCCTACCTTTGTAGGGGTGCACCATCCCCTCCACCACGTGCACCGTGTCATCGCCCTGTAGCTGCAGGGACACGTCCCCCACGGCATCCACCAGCTCCGTGAAGAAGTCAGCGATCTCAGGGCAGTCCTGCAGGAAGACGTAGCGGTCCTGGCGGTTGGTGAAGTAGGAGTCACTCAGGTTTGCGCTGCAGGAGGAAGCGGGGGAGCCGTGAGGACCGGGCCAGGAGGGGCTCACACACTGCAGGCCTGGGGGCCCCCCTGAGGGATGTACAACAGGTGGGACAGTCCCCCCAGAAGGTGCTACTAGGGAATGCAGATTCCAATCCTGGCTCAAGGCTTTGTTCTGTCCTGCCTGACCCAGCGAGCATGCCCTCTGCCCGGGCCTCCCCACGGGGCTTCGAGGCAGCAGCGGGCCTCACCCGCTCAGGAGGACGCTGTTGTCGAACAGGTAGACCTTGATGTGCTGCAGCCCGATGGTCTCGTTGAAGCGCTCGGGCAGCAGGAGGCGGAGGAGGCCACGCAGGTTGGGGGTATGGAAGAGGGAGACGCGCACCTGCTCAGGGAACCTGCGGAGCAGCGGCAGCAGCATGGTTCGCGAGTTCTTCCTGCCTGGGGGCGGGGCACCGGGCTGTGAGCACCAGGCAGCACCTGGCCTCCGAGGGCAGACAGGCTCCCCCTCACCACTCAGGCCCCCTCTGCTCCGTGTGACCCTTCAGAGCAGTCTGCCCCACGGGTGGGTGCTGGGCCTGGGCCCCAGAGGCCACCCTGGACCCTAAGTAGGCAGCCAGCCCAAGGGACTCAAGGTCCAGGCCCAGCCCAGAGGTCAGTCAGGGCAGGACATTCTGCAGCCTAGGTCACTCTAGCGGGTGTCCAGTGGCTGCTATGGAAGGTGTCTGCCTGGGTGGTGCTCAGCCTGCCTGAGGGGCCGGGCGCACAGGCCTTACCTCTGGAGCCACGCGTGAAGTCTAAGAGGATGGAGACCCTGAGGTCCGAGGGCAGACTGGCGCGGAGGGACTTCTCCAGGGCGCTTTCCAGACAGTCCACCTGTCAACAGCAGGGGCAGGGCTGCATGACAAAAGCCAACCTACCTGTCAGCCCTGGTCCCCGGTGCCCAAACGAGAGCCCTTCCTGCTCAGACAGCCTGGCAACCATCGGAGAAGCCCCCAGTGCCCTCCCTGTGGCCTGGGGGACCCACAGGTCAAGGGCGGCCCCCCTAGTATGCTGGACCAAGCCGCTCTGGGACCCGCTGCTCTGACAGATGCTGACAAGGCAGTGCTCAGGCACCCACTCCATGCGCATGTACGCGCATGGATCGGGTCGGCACGTGGCCTCCCCAACACCTCCTGCTGAGCCCACAGCCTCTGCCTGCACTGGGCACATGCCACTCCCGGGCACATGTGGAGGGGATGGCCTATCCCACCTGCTGTGCTCACACTGGCCCCATGGAGAGGCAGCAGAGCCAGGGAGGCTGGGCTGCCTGCAGACTTGGCACCTGTCCCAGGTCCCTGGCATAGCCCGGGGGCCAACCCTGTCACCGCTGCTGTTCCCTGAGGGCTGGAACCACATGACCTTCACTACCATGTACTTGTTTTAAATCTCAGACACTTTGTGTCTCAAAGTCAACTTCGTGGGATTCCCTGCGTGGCACCTGACAAGGGTTAGACCATTTTGAAGGCAGAGCGCCAGGTTGAGCCCTGCACAGCGGGGCCCAGGGAGCCCTGGTGGGGATTGGGGGTGGCGGGATGGCAGGGATGCTGGCCCGAGCACCACCATCACCCTGTGCTGCTCTCTGGGGACAAGAACCAGCACTGGCAGGGACAGCGTACGGCAGCTGGGGCAGCCACATGGGGTCCAGGCCCTACCGCTGCCGGTGCCCCAAGACCCTTACCAGCTCCTGTTCCAAAGGGCCAGTCCCCAGGTAGAGGGACGCCATCACCACTCGCCTCCGGGCTGTCTTTATCTGCCCCTGAGAGAGGAGACACTGTGTCCACACGCGCTGCCACCTCCAGGGGCACCAAGCTCTCACCACCTGCTATGCCCTCAGTCCAGACACATGGGCATTTGTAGGCAGTGCAGCACAGCACGGCACGGCATGGCACACCACTCCTAACAGCCCACCCTTCCCTACAGACACTGCCCGGTCAGCCCTACCCGCCCCCACCCTCCCCTCAATGCAGTTTGACCACAGGCCCAACCCTGATGGCCATGGAACGAGGCTTTGGGGGCGTGGAGGCCGGCACAGTCCAGGCATGCCTAACTCATGCCAGCCTCGAGTGCTGCGTGTTCAGCACATGGTGAGAGACCAGGAAGGTACCAGGAGGCGGGAGGGAAGCCTCCAGGGAGGCCACTCCCCGTCTAGTTATTGAGAGTAGCTGCTTGGGAGGCAGGGAGGGTGAAGACAGAGAAGGGGATACTGCCCGGGGCTGGGAGGCAGGGCCGTGTCCATAGGCCAAGTGTTCAGGAGAGGGCCGGCCACAGGGGTGGTGGGCAGCGCCAGGCTGCCCTGTCTATCCAGGGCAGAATGGCACCAGGTGCACCCCTGACTTGGCCCATGCCAGTGCCATCTGCCAGAAGCCCGCCACAGGCCAACTGTACCTTCACCACAGCCAAGAGAGCTGCTTTGCAGGCCTGTCTGGATAGGACAGGCTGGATGAACAATCTGGAGGAGAAAACAACGGGACTGACAGTTCCGGGGGGACATGGGAGAGGGGGAGGAGG